CTCGCGCGCGCGCGCGCGCGCGCGCGCGCGCACATGTGCGCACACACACACACAGGTGAAAGTCCGGCGAAACAGTCTGGTACAGTCATGCTTTTTTTGAGTGTATACCGAATATGACAACACACAACACACGCACACACACACACCGCTCAACCACAATCAACGTGGGCAGCCTTGTGCATAAGAGGCACAGTAAAAGGGGAGCTTCAAGAACAATGAAAGGGGTACCCCAAGGACAACCAGAAAACTGTCTAATTATAAAATTGCTTTAAACCACCAGTACTTGGCCCAGCTATGGGCCGCGGCCAAAAAATAGAGTAGAAACGTTTTTAGTCGGATGAATTTGGGCGCTCCTGTAGTGGCCCGTACGTTTCCTAAAATCGTGGCGCGTTAACGGGCACGACTCGAGGAAGTACTGGTGGTTTAATATGTTGGGCATCTCATACCTTCCCCTTTACTCTGCCTCTTATTATAACGTGCAAGTGGGCCGTTAAGGCACACGGGGATGTGGGCAGCTGCCGCTCAACCACCATCAACGTGGGCAGCCTTGTACGTGCGAGGCAAAGTGAAAGAGGAGCAAAAAAATTGAAGTGTTGGGCGGACTCAGTCCGGTTCTACTCGTCTGGTTGGAATAGGGGTTGTTGTGGGGGAAGCTTATAACACACACACACACACACACACACACACACACACACACACACACACACACACACACACACACACACTTATACATCAGTCTGCGCCCTATGGAATGTATAGCTAGACTACATGTATATTCTTGACACGTCAGACATGCTATGCTATCGCACAGCTGCCCAGGCAGGTAGGTACAGGAGCCCAAAAGGTATTGAAACCACAACCCACTAATACAACTTGTGTGCTTTACCAATTGAGCTACTAATATGTCTCAAGAACAGAAATAGAAAGAACAAACTGCCAGGTCCTTGGGGCTTTGTCCATGTGCCCCGCGTTTAGCCTATGGAAATTGTGTGCATCCACACTCGGGTAGGTCCATATCCAAAGCGAGGGCATACTCACACCAGGGCTACTTCGACTGCATCTTGAGTTTGTTTACTGCATTCAGTTATTTATCACAAGAAGCCAGGAACATAAGGCCCCGTTTTTACGGGGGAAAAAAGGAAGAGTCCCTGACGTATCCAGAGACATGTGTTATTATTTGTGCTTTGCATGTCTTCAGATGGATCTGGGGAAGTCCAAGTGTGCATACGCGTACGCCGCAAAAACTCTTTTTCATTCTTCTTAAGGATCACAAGGACAGGTCTACGTCCTGGAAATGAGGTCAAAAATTCTGGTCGAGGTCTAGAGCAGTGATTGAGCGTCTCAATTAGCGAAGGCAACCGGCATCAGTTGTTCTGTTGGGACCTTGGTATCTGACATATTGGTAGCATTGTGCTGATTTTGTGTGGTGCATTGAAGATTATGTGCATACGTGGCAGTTCCGAGAAGCAGCAGGAGAGTACATTACCCTCCTTGTCATTATGGTAGTCCGCCGCCTTTTGCTCCTCCTCCTCCTCCTCATCGCCACCACCACCGCCATCCTCCGTGCCATCTTCCCATAACTGCAGCAGGATCCCATCATCATCGTCATTGTCGACAGCACGAACATCAACAAACATTGGCATCATCACCATCATTATCGACAGCAACGAGAACGTCATCATTATCATCCTCATCGCCATTATCTTCATTACCGTCATCATCATCAGTATGGTGGTTGAGATTGGATTTGCGCCCTGTCCTTGCTCATCAAGTGCAAATGCCGTAAGCCGGTCCTTGCCTTGCATTTCACAGATTTTTGGAGAAAAGACAGACAGAAAGGTAAGCATACCAAACCGTTTTGTTGATTTTTCTGTGTCGTCTTCCTTTCCCTCTCTTTTTCTTTTTCTTTTTGCGTGGAATTTGGGAAAGAAAAAGACAATGTTTTGTCTATTTGTGGATTCCAGAACACGAGTTCTCACGACGATTGTCATTGCCAACAGTGTAATAAAATCTCATATAACAATGAGGACAACGCTCAAATATACCATCATTACTGTGCACATCATGCACAATAATGCTGACAATGATTACCATACCAGGCGGTAAAGAGCATACAGCCGGTTGGGGTTTGGAGTACACGAAGATCTCAACTTGTGGTTCCTGAGGCCCCACAAATCCTTGGTCCAACAAACTGGCATACACTATCAAGTTTATGGATATCATGTGTTGAGTAAGGCCATGCTCTTCTAGGTTGTTTAGGGTTTAGGGTTTAGGGCAAAGCCATGTCTATCTCCATGGTGTAGGGTTTAGGATTTAGGGCAAACTCATCTCCATCCCTATGCTTTAGGGTGTAGGGTTTACAGCCAAGTCATCTCCATCCCTGTGGTTTAGGGTTTAGGAATTTAGGGCAAATTCGTCTCTATCTCCGTGGTTAAGTGTTTATGGCATCTTCATCTCTGTGGTTTTGAGCTTAGGGCTTCGGGCAAGTCATCTCCACCTCTGTGGTTTAGGGTTTAGAGCAAAGCCATCTCCATCTGTCTGGCATAGGGTTTATGTTTTAGGGTCCCTTAGCTAGCCACAACTGTGCAGTCCATGGATGGCTCACCAAACAAAGCCTTTGAACTCTGCCTACTCATATCAGTTAAGGGCTTGGCCACACAAGCATGCCCTCTGCACGACAGAATTTCTCTGAGGATGTAGTCACAATTTACCGATGAGTTCTGTAACAATGTATGGTGGACCATGCAGCTGCATAACATACATTTCCTCGACAAGCTATGTGTGAACGTACTTTCGCCAACTCGTTCTGCAACTATGCGAAGGGAACAGACATGTCTCTGACCAATGTATGTGTGAAGATACATGGTTGGAGAACGCGTCGGCAAATATTGTGCTGCATATTTAGGGGAAGAGCGCCAATGTTCCTGCTGAGAAGTGGTTGCGGTGTCTGCCCCTTTCGGCAGCAATATTGCGGATTGGCAGCGTCTGTACACAATCATAATTGGGCAACCGAGCGGAATTAAAATGGAGAGGCGGTTTGAGAGTAGGTAGTAGAAGAGGGCTGCAAGCTGGGTAGGGAACAGTAGGCAAGGACTCCTGGAGGACCAAGAGTGAAGAACAGGGGGGGGGGATTGACTGGACGCTTTCCATTTCGGAACATGGCATGGGATTTGTCTTTTTCTTGAAGTGCTTGGGGGGGGTCTGTTTGGGGTGGAAAGGTGGTGGTTGAGGACAACGATGGGGCTAATGCCGTCCTGCACAGTGCTGTCCATATCCTGTCTGGACCAGATTGCAGCTGGCAACTCGTCAAAGACGAAGGACAAAGGAGTAGACGCAGCCTAGGGGAAAGCTCTATGGTCATGGTTCTGTGCAAAGGACGGTTGTTTTATGGTTGAGGGTTAAGGCCCTTAAGGGTGTTCACACACTTCCATATGACCTGCATCAAAACACGGTCATGCAAACCAAGAACCGCGAAGGCATATGAACATTAATTGAAATGAATCTGCTCTTTATTGTGGCCAGATTGTGTCCAAAAAGTCTTAGCTAAAAGAAGAAATGAAAGAGATATGACGAAAAAGCCAGAGTGAGGAAGAGAAGACAGAGCTGCGCAGGAAAAGGAAAAACAATGGTTTCAGTGTTCTGCATGTTTGTTTGCTTCACAAATTGCTCTCTTCTAGTTAATAGATAGGTGATAATATATAAATCCATAGAACATTGTTAAGGTAAAGCTGTCTCAATTTTGGATCTACTCATCTGGGTGGAAAAGGGGTCGTTGTGGCAAAGTGAATGTTTGGATCTACTCATCTGGGTGGCAAAGGTAAAGCTGTCTCAATTTTGTATCTACTCATCTGGGTGGAAAAGTGAATGTTGTTAATTGATCTCTTTTGTTGTATACTTCATTTTATACTTTTTGTTCTCCTTTTGAAAATTTGAAGCAGTTTTTAAGTTTTAACCTGCAAGCCAGGAAAAAAACGGGATGTGAACCCTCGACTTCTGGCGCGACATCCCCATTTCACTGATGCACTGGGGCTGGATCCTTTGATTTGATTTGTATTCGATTTCTACTTGATAACCTCTGCAGCGGCGGCGGCACCTGAGGTCGGTGCTCGGGGTGTTGTCAACAGGTTCTAGTCAGAACCAAGAAGTTTCGTACTGGTTGACGTCATTGGCTGGAGTGCTTGACGGTCTGTATAAGTGTGAGGTAATGTCATGGACCAATGGTTGGTTACCGGATCTTAAGTTCTCCATGAAAAGCTATTCGCAGGACTGGAAAAAAGAACGATGGAAGCAAAACTACTATGTGTGACTTCCTCTCCCCAACCCGCTTCTCTCTCTCTGTCTTTCTCTCTCTCTCTCTCTCTCTCTCTCTCTCTCTCTCTCTCTCTCTCTCTCTCTC